AAGTTCATCCGCCACGGTCGGCTAAAAGTTCCCAAGTGGGGATTGAACTCACGACCTGACCCAGAGGTGGGAGTGCAAGTGACTGAGCCAGTTTTGTCTGTTCAGTATACAGCACGGCCTGACCATTCATTCCTGCACATTCTGTGGTTCACAAATTCCACTGTCATCTTAGCATTTTTGATGGGATCTTTTTGAAGGTAGCTTTGCATTCTGGTGGAAAACGTGTGTAAGGGTCAAGGAGACCAAATCTGGGACTAAGCTATCCAGAAATGTTGAATTGTGGACCAAATGGAAAGCTATGCGGGAGGGTGGGGAGGGAGACAGCTTTCCAGGTCATCAGATTGATTGCTGTCTGAATCGTTTTCCTGCTTGCGTCTAACCCACCACTGTGCTCGGATTTTATGATAAGGCTATATCAAAGGCAAGGATTATTATTATTATATTATTATTATTATTGTTATCCCAACAACTATATTACAAGAAGGCTCCACTGGATTCTGAATTCCTGATTATGAAACCCCTTATTACTGTTATACCAAGATGTTGTCTGACGTAAAGTCCCTACAAAACATATTCAAAGATATAAAACAAATTTATATGGAGGATGAAGGGCTTTAGGATGAAGTGTGTGGGTTGTGAAACTTCAGCGTCATGTCGGTTAGGGTGCCGTTAAACACGAAATTAACTTCTGTATTTGGGATGAAGGCTGCTCTTACGTTGTACTGTTGTCCTACCAGGGATCAAATAATGAGACTGAATGCTTACTGAGGTGTCCTGTGGTCTTGAAAAGGAAGAAGCAGTACTGTCAGAAAAGTTACAAAAGTTCACTTGTATCTCTGTGTAAAAACCCAATGGAAACAGATGTTGCAAAAGAGCCAAATTGTGATAACTACACATTCCAACTGTCTGAAAGTATATCATGTAGGAAACAATGTGTATCCTTGCGATCACTGAAACATTACTTGACAATGAATCTTGTGGAGTGATGTTGGACAGAGCTGGTTAGTGATGAGCTAAGGTTTACGGATGAGAACTGGAGATTTTAGGGGAATGCGTGTCTTCAGCAGACTTACAATTATGGAATTACCAAAGAGTAATCGTGATCCTGGAGCAGAAATGTTGAGCAAGATGACTGAGCAGCCACCACAAGACGGGTGCAGATCTAACAATTCTCCCCCCCCCCCCCCCACCCCGTACAGCACTGGTCACTCCTCCGATGACTGCTGCTGCTTTTCGTTAACCCTGGATTGTTGCGGTTCAGTCCATCCAACCACGGCTGCGAGGTTGATGCTGAGTAACCCAAAAGTGTCATTCTAAACAGTAAAGCGTCACCACCAGTTCAGCCCGGCCTTATTAGAACAGTCTTGTTGGGACGGCAGTGGGGGGGGGGGGGGCATCCTTAAAGTGAGATCATGCAATTATAAATATGCCCGTTTATAGTCCTCTCACAGTCACTCCCAAAGTTGACATCATTGAACCTCACTCTACAACCACGTTACGTATAAAACCCATGGAATAGTGAGGCGCACTATATAACTGTGCAGGGAGATATTTAGTGCCTGCCCACTCCCAGTTTATTATTCTTAAAGAAACGATGCTGTTGTACAATAAACTATGTGAGTTCTGTAAAATCTAGGACATCACGCTGGGGAATGCTATCTGTTTTTGTGTGTTTTTACAAGTTAGATTTGGCCCTAATTTCTAGCATTGTCAGTCACGTGTGCCAGGATTTCCTAATTGTTCTGAGAAATTGACATACAATATCCACGGTTCACGTGTTTTTTCTCCTTCTACTTTCATTATGAAATTGAGCGTCAATGATATGTCATAGTTCTATAGTTTTGTTTTAATAATTAAAACGTGACTATCCTTCTTGGTGGGGAGGGCCCTTGTTAGAGCTGAACTGGCTCCAAGGTAACATAATAATAATGATCCTTTATTTATTTTGAATGGATTATTATCCCCAGAAAATCGATTCGCCAATCGACTAGCTCTGCCGATGATCGCACAGGCAGCCTAGCTCATCGGCAGGATATGAAAAGTAACTGAGGGCAGGGAGTCATCCCACTCAGCTCCTGTTAACCCTGCAAGCCAAAGACCTAACGGATACGGTGATCTTAATAATAATAATCCTTGCATTTATATAGCGCTTTTCATGTCGGGAGGACGTCCCAAAGCGCTTCACAGAACACACTGTAAAGTGAATTGACTGTATATTTGTGGGCGAACGCGGCAGCCAATTGCGCACAGCAATGTCCCACAAACAGTCGTAGATTGAAAGTGACCAATTTATTATTGTTTTTGGTTTTGGAGGGATTATTATTAGGCTCTGTGTGGAGTAAGGAAACTTGCCCAAGGTTTCGCCCTCTGCCTGGAATTGAACTCAGGTCTCTCACTTGCAAAGCGAGTGCTCTAACCACTGAGCTACAGGACTCTTAGCTGGACAAGCAGTGGGAAAGTTTGCTAGATAGAAATATCAATGGCAAGCTATGTGGTTTTAGCTGGTTGGACTCCAGCAGTTACCCCACCGCACACTCTGAGGTCCAACCTGCGTCTAATACTTTCCGAAATTAGGTAAGCAGGATGCGTCCCTCCAGGAAGAGAGTGCGCATTCCATTCCAACAATCTCTCTCTGGAATCTCCATGTGTAGGTGGGATGCCTGGAAATCTCAGCTTGGTTTGGATCCTCTTAAGCGCGGTGATTTGTTAGCACACGTGCCAGACACCCAGCTGACCAAAAAAAAAGTTATCTCAGGGAGATGCTGCGAAAATCCTTGCATTTGGTATAGCGCCTTTCACATCAGGAGAATGTCTCAAAGGAATAATTGTAAACTGTACTGAATGTATTTTGTAAGTGAATGCAGCAGTCAATTTGTGCACACAAACATCTATGAAATGAATGATCAATTTTATCTGGTGGACTTCTTGGCTAGGACACCAGGAGAAACTCCCTTCTCTTTTTGAATAGATGCAGAGGATCTTTTACATTCACCTGCACAGCCAGACGTTAGTTTAACATTGCATCTGAAGTACGGCAAGTGTGTAATTTCCCCACCTCCAACAATGCAGCACATCCAACACTATACTGGAGTGTTAACCTGTGAGCCCAATGGAGAGTTTTCTGACTTAGAGGAGAGAGTGCAACTAAGCCTTTCACGTAGGGACGTCCTCCCGACGTGAAAAGCGCTCTATAAATGGAATCTTGTTGTTGTTGTTGTTGCTGTAAGCCAGGCTGACAAGATGCTTGACATGTGGGAGATGCAAAATGAAACAGTGAACTTCTTCTGGTATATTGAGGGAGGAGCAGACTGTTGTGAGCTGCTGTATTTTGTGTTATTGTATGTGCAACAGTTGAATTTGCAATTTGCAAAAAAAAACAATTAGAGTGATGAAAAACTCAGATTTGCTCCAGAACCCTGACTTATTTATGCTATTTTATATATATATATATAATTTATATATATATTCACTCACAATAAACTCCATGCTCCCAGCAAAACAGTTCTCACCAGGCTTCACTGGCTCGCTGCCACAGATTGGATCGATTTCAAGATCCTCTCACTCATCTGCGAACCCCTTCATGCCCTGGTACCTCCCTCCCTTTCTGACCTGCTCTCTCCCCACTCCACTACCAGCCTCCGCTTGGCTGGCTCTGGCCTCCTGCTTGTCCCTCGTCCCCTCCCCTCCACCATTGGCGGCTACGCTTTCAGCCACTACACCCGAAGGATTTGGAACTCTCTCTCTCTCTGTCTCTGAATCCCTCCACTTTGCCCCCTCCTTCCCCTCTTTTCGATCACGACTGAAGACCTTCCTCCTCGACCATGCTTCTGTTCACCTTCTCCGTTTCGGTGTCAGGCTCCACCACTGTTAAGCGCTCCGAGACGGTGCCCTGGGCGAAGGGCACTGTATAAATACAAGTTGCTGTGCGTAAACGTGACCGTGATCCCTGTGCTTAGCTGTGATTAAACCACGTTAAGTAGCTGCTGAACATTAACCGACTCATGACTGTTTTTACAGGGAAGCAGCGAAACTCCTGGCAAGTGCACGCCAGCCGCCTGCTCGCACAAACAAAACACGGCAAGCTTAGGTCCTGAAGAAAGGAGCTGAGGGGGTGGAGAGGAGGAGGAGGAGGCGGCGGCGGAGACGCATATTATGTTTCGCTGCTTTTCACTTCCAACGACTTGAAGAATCCAAAGGAACGAGGGATTCCCAACCCTGTGCAGAGCTGTACCTTTACACCGCAGACTACACCCCCCCACCACTCCCCCCCTCCTCCATCACTGTCTGTCATGAGAGATCGCAGCACATGACTTGCCCCTGAGTTATTGGTGGTCAGTCAGCTGGAGGTCCTGGTGGCACTCCCCCCACCCCCTCCCTCTCCCTCCCTCCCTCCCTCCCTCTCAGCAGATGAAGTGCCAGTGCAGTGGTGCGTTTCGGCTGCTGAACGCTTCCCAGTGCTTTGACTGAACGAGTTTGGCACCGCGTCTGCATCTACCGCTCTTGAATTCAGCAGCAGAGCCCGACCAGGACCCCCCCCCCCCCTCCCCCCCCTCCACCCCCTCACCCCCCCCCCCTCCCCCCCACCCACACAGACAGAGAGAGAGAGAGAAGGGCTCTCGTTGCAAAACCCAACACTTTGCCGTAGAGAGAGAGAGAGAGAGTGAGAGAGGGGGGAAAAAAAAAAGGGGATGTAAAATCCAGAGTGAAGCTGTCGGGTCGGGTCGGGTCTGTCCGCGGAAACCCCGGGGGCTGCGGTTAACTGACGCTTGTGACCGCCACAGCGGTTGAGGGGGTCACTACAGGACACCCAGTCCCGTCCCCCCCCCCCTCCCCCCTCTCTGGTGTGTTTAAACCATCCGGTCCTCCCCCCCCCCCGGGGGGTTCAGAGCAGTGTGTGCGAGAGAGAGGACAGACACACACACACACGCGCGCGGGTGGGACCTGAGACCCGAGAGCGCACCGGGTGCGGTTGAGCGGTCAGTCGGACTCTCGGGGTCGGTGGAGGGGGAGAGGGGGGAGTGGGAGCGGATGACCCCTTGGCAGCTCCCCGGCGGCGGCGGCGGCTCGGGAGAGAGGGGGGACCGGCGATGGGGGGCACCCTGGGCTGCCACCGCTCCATCCCGCGGGACCCCCTGGAGAGCGGTCGGCGCCGCAAGTTCAGCGCGGCCTGTAACTTCAGCAACGTCTCGGTCCGCCCCCCGGAGCGGCTGAACATCAACGCGGCCACGGAGGAGGAGCTGATGACCCTGCCCGGGGTGGGCCGGGCCGTGTCCCGCAACATCGTGGACTACCGGCAGCGCATCGGCGGCTTCAAGAAGGTGGAGGACCTGGCGCTGGTGAGCGGGGTGGGGGCCGCCAGGCTGGAGCACATCAAGCCGGAGATCTGCGTCAGCGGTCGGGGCGGCGGAGGAGGAGGAGGAGGGGGCGGCGGAGGAGGAGGAGGAGGCGGGGGCTCGGCCCAGCACTCTCCCGGCTCTCCGCCGCGGGGCGACCCCGCCGAGGCGGCCCCGCTCGACGTCGCCACGGCCACGGAGACGGCAAACGGCCGACGGGGCCCGAGCCGGACGGCGGCCGACGCCGTCGTCGTGGTCGTCGGCTCCCGCCAGCGGCGCGGCCCGGGCCGGAGCCCGGACGAGCTGCTCGGGGCCTCCTCCGCCTCCGCCTCCGCCGCCGCCTCCGCCTCCGCCGCCGCCGCCGCCGAGCGGTCCCGACCCCCGTCCGCCGCGCACACCAACGGGGGCCTCCACTTCAGCCCCGGGCCCGGGCCCGGGCCCCACCCGAGCCCCACCTCCCTCAGTCTGCACAGCGAGGACCTGGACCTGGACCTGGATCTGCCCCCCGGCGGCCCCGCGCAGGTCGTGGCGGCGCGGCCCAGCGTGGAGGCGTTCGGCGGCCTGAGGGCCGGGGGGCGGGTGCTGAGGCTCGGCAGCTGGAACCTGCAGCGCTGCTCCGCCGAGAAGGCCAACAACCCCGGAGTCCGAGAGGTCGTGTGCATGAGCCTCCTGGAGAGCGGGTAAACGGCTCCGCCACGGGGTTCACTGGGGCTCTGATTCCCCTCCACTCACTCCCCTCCACTCCCCACTCACCCACTCCCCCACTCACTCCCCTCTCACCCACTCACTGCCCCCTCACCCACTCCCACCCTCACTCTCCCCCCCCCCTCACCTCCACTCACTCCCCCCACTCACTCACTCCCCCCCACTCCTCCCCCCCTCCTCACTCCCCTCTCCCCCACTCACTCCCCCCTCACCCACTCACTCCCCCCTCACCCACTCCTCCCCCTCCCTCCTCACTCCCCTCTCACCCACTCACTCACTCCCCCCCACTCCCTCACTCCCCCCTCCTCACCCACTCCCCCCCTCCTCACTCCCCCCCCTCACCCACCCACTCCCCCCTCACCCACTCCCCCCTCACTCACTGCCCCCTCACCCACTCACTCACTCCCCACTCACTCACTCACCCCCACTCACTCACCCCCACTCACTCCCCCCCCACTCATTCACCCCCACTCACTCCCCCCCACTCACTCACTCCCCCCACTCACTCACTCCCCCCCACTCCTCCCCCTCCCTCCTCACTCTCCCCTCACCCACTCCTCCCCTCCTCCACTCCCCCCCACTCACTCCCCCTCACCCACTCCCCCCTCACCCACTCCCCAATTCCTTCTCACGGTGTCACAGACGGAGAAGCCGTGTCCGATGGCTGACAGGTCATGTGTGTGCGGTTCACTGTCCACTGGCGCTCTGCCGGGAACTGTCGGTCAATGCACTTATTTTCTCCACAGCCCCTGTGTGTGTGTGTGTGTGTGTGTGTGTGGCTCTGTATCTGTGTGTGTGGCTCTGTATCTGTGTGTGTGGCTCTGTATCTGTGTGTGTGGCTCTGTATCTGTGTGTGTGGCTCTGTATCTGTGTGTGTGGCTCTGTATCTGTGTGTGTGGCTCTGTATCTGTGTGTGTATCTGTGTGTGTGTGTGGCTGTGGCTGTGTGTGTGTGTGTGACTGTGTGTGTGTGTGTGGCTGTGTGTGTGTGTGTGGCTGTTGTGTGTGTGTGTTGTGTTGTGGCTGTGTGTGTGTGTGTGGCTGTGTGTGTGTGTGTGGCTGTGTGTGTGTGTGTGGCTGTGTGTGTGTGTGTGTGGCTGTGTATCTGTGTGTGTCTGTGTGTCTGTGTGTGTGTGTGTGGCTGTGTGTGTGTGTGGCTGTGTGTGTGTGTGGCTGTGTGTGTGTGTGTGGCTGTGTGTGTGTGTGGCTGTGTGTGTGGCTGTGTGTGTGGCTGTGTGTGTGGTGTGTGTGTGTGTGTGTGTGCTGTGTGTGTGTGTGTGGCTGTGTGTGTGTGTGTGGCTGTGTGTGTGTGTGTGGCTGTGTGTGTGTGTGTGGCTGTGTGTGTGTGTGTGGCTGTGTGTGTGTGTGTGTGGCTGTGTGTGTGTGTGTGTGGCTGTGTGCGTGGCTGTGTGTGGCTGTGTGTCTGTGTGTGCGTGTCTGTGTGTGTGTGTGTGTGTGGCTATGTGTCTGTGTGTGTGTGTCGGTGTGTCTGTGTCTCTCTGGTGTATCACTAGTTACACCAACTGAAATTGATGTGTGTGAAACGTTGTCAGGGTTCAGGTCCTGACAGTCTTTGCTTTATAAGCAAATGCTCAAACAAGCTGTAAACTTCTCTCAGAAACAGATGTAATCCCTCCTCTCCCCCCCCCCCCCACACACACACACCACCCATTTACTTAATTGAATGGGATCCCTGATTAATTATAGCTTAAAACATTCCGAAGCGCACAAGGATTGCCGTCCGCAGTTTTCGGTGTCGAGGTTTAATTTAAGAAAGGCATTTTTGCAAAACAAACAACTCCTCTGTAAAGTCCTCCGCTGTGTGTGTGTCTCTCTGCCAAATGACATGCCCTAAGTTCTAGGAGAAAGGTTAATTCAGCATTTTTAATGTTTTTACTCTTGACCGAATGCTGTGACATTTTGTGGGAACGGCTGTTTAATGTCATCCATCCCACCCCCCCCCCCCCCCCCCAACCACACACTCTGGACGTCACTTTGGTTCCTGGTTTCAGTCTTGTAATTGAAGCTTTACAAGGTGCTGCGTAGACTCTGCTGCCACTATCTCATTTCCCTGACGTAATCATTTCCAGATTTAAAAATGTAAAAGATAAAACTGTGTGGCCGAGGGAGGAGAGTGTTCTCAGTACAGTATAAGAGTATTGGTAGTTTAGTGGTCAAGACGCAAGTGCTTTGTGTTGGTTTGTATTGCGTGGACTTTCATAATTAAGAACCCTGTTCATTGATCCCCTTTTGCACAACCTCACCGTAGTCATCTATACACAGGGATCTTGTTCAGTAAAGGAGCAGCAAAGAAAGCCCTGACATACGCTTTCCCCTGCGGTTCTCATCTGCAGTACTGTGCCGTGTTGCCTTCTGTAGTCTGGATACCTCTCTCCGTGTAGTGCACGTTCTTTGCTGCAGCAAGTGCAGAGTTTGTACAGTTTGTGCTTTCAGCTCAAAGGATGCCGTGTGAGCCCAGTCAGCCCTTGTACGAGAAAACCGGAAACAATCGGAGCTGTGAAAACATGGCACAGTTCCCCTGAAGAACTAATACGTAGACAAGAGTTTGAAACCGTGATAGTTAACTGTCTTGTCCAATTAATGCACCACTTGATTTGGTTTTGAATATTGTCTGAGAAGCAGTTAGGATGACAGCCATGACATTGCTGTGTGCATAACTGGCTGCTGTGTTGACCTCAAAGTACACTCACTACACTTTACAGTGAATTCTGTGAAGTGCTTTAATGTCCTCTCGTCGTTTCAAAACCTTCCGCTTTGACCGTGGCATCCTCCCACCCCAACTCCCCTTGCCCTTCACCCGTCTTGATTCCAATCCCCAGCTCGTGTGCAATCCCTTCACTGTCCTGCCCCTTGCGATGTCCTCCCGACGTGAGAGTCGATCCATAAATGCAACTTGTTGGCTCTTGTTGTTGAAAAACGCTATATTCAAGGATTATTTGTTATTATTATTTGTTATTTTGTTATTTTGTTATTTGTTATTGTTATTATTACGAGACATAGTGGAGCAACATAGTGGCCTTCAGGATTCACGATGGGAGCCACAGAGAAATGAATATTTTATCGATTGAGAATACTTGCTTTTTGTCGCCTAATGTGTACACATAGGTTCAGCATTTGTGTAAAATATACATGGACGATGTAGTGGGTGGATGGGCGGGGGTGAGGAGAGAGAATGGGGAGGGAAATTTTATTTTCATTGGAAAAAAAATTATGACGGAAATTTTGGAGTGAATGCTAATAGGTTACGTATACAAGGGTATCATTTACAGCTCCAGGTTCACAGCTTGTAGTATCTGCCCCCCCCCCCCCACCACACACCCAAAATGGTGAAGGTTTAACCTGGCTTGAAACTGAGTCGCGCAGATCCAATCCACTGGTTTGTTTCTATCTCACCTGGGATGGCCTCGGTGTCTTAGTATCAGCCATGTGAAACATTGGTGAGGGTACACTCTGACTGGTGTACTATCTGCTTACTATCTGTTGAACAACATATATAGTGGTTAGAGCACTTGCCTTACAAGCGAGACACCTGGGTTTGATTCCCAGCAGGTCGAAATCTTGGGCAAGTTTCCTTACTCCGCACGCCTGATAATAATCCCCCCCAAAAAACAATAATATATTGGTCACTTCAGTCCACGACTGTTTATGGGACACTGCTGTGCGCAATTGGCTGCCATGTTTCGCCCACAAATGTACAGTCAATTCACTTTACAGTCTATTGTGTGAAGCGCTTTGAGATGAAGGTGCTATATCAAATGCAAGGATTATTATATACATATGTGTGTGTGTATATATATATACATAGCTCAGGGACAAATCATCCGTACATTCAACCATTACTTTTTTATAATCCTTTATTTAAATGTTACTCTCCGTTGTGAAAAGTGAAGGCAAAATTCAAAAAACTCCCCCACCACCCCCAAGTACCAAGTGGTAATGTGTTGTGACTCAATTAAACGTGCCAACTGTGCACAACTTGTGTATAAACTTTGCTTACTGGAAAGTTTGCCATTAATCTAACTTAATGAAGTGGCTGGACTCGGCTGTGCCAATGGTTGATCCTTGTTTTTCTAAGCCATTTGACAATGTTGGCATTAATTACACTTTTTTTCTAAAGAAAAGAAAAACGTGGATAAAAGATTGAGTTTTAATCTTGGTGGTATTAAATCTTGTCCACATCTACAGAAATGGGTCAACAGCAATAGGTGTTTTAACACGACATAGAATGGAACGAGATTCATCAGCTACACTTCATAAAACTAACCAAATCCAGACTTCTCCACTTTGTTCCATGCAACATATTGCTGCATTTACCAAACCTTAAGTTTAAAAGATTAACAATAATAATAATCCTTGCATTTGATACAGCGCCTTATCACGTCTTCTAGATGTCTAGAAGACATCTTCACAGAATATACTGCAAAGTAAATTGACTGTATTTTGTGGGGGAAACACGACAGCCAATTGCACACAGCAGTGTCCCACAAACAGTCGTGGATTTACTACAGGAGTCCTGCGAGAGACCTGGGTTCGATTCCCAACAGGGCAAAACCTTCGGCAAGTTTCCTTACTTCACATGTCTGATAATAATCCCTCAAGAAAAAAATAATAATAATAATAATTTGGTCACTCAATCCACGACTGTTTGTGGGACACTGCTGTGTGCAATTGTCTGCACACAGCAGTGTCCCACAAAATATACATTCAATTCATTTTACAGAATATTCTGTGAAGCGCTTCGAGAAGTCTCGAAGACGTGATTAGGGATAATAATCCCTCCAAAAGCAATAATAAATTGGTCATTTTCAATCTACGACTGTTTGTGGGACATTGCTGTGCGCAATTGGCTGCCGCGTTCACCCACAAATATACAGTCAATTCACTTTACAGTGTGTTCTGTGTCTTCTGCTTTGGGACATCTAGAAGACGTGAAAAGCGCTATTTCAAATGCAAGG